TCCATAAAATTTTATTAAAAAAAAAATAATAGGCAGCTGGCTGGATTTGATCTGTGGGCTCTAATTTTGCTGACTTCTGCTCTAAACCTACCACCCACTGTACCTACCCTCATTGATTTCTCTCAGTGAAGTGTCACTCTAGCCCAACTCCAATGTTCAATGTCTCAAGTTAGCCTCAGCAAGACAGAGGCTCTCCAGTTAATGGGACAGGACCCTCCCTCCACAGGTGATAGTTTAGTTGCATTTTTTGTTGCTAGAACATACCCTGGAAGTCTCCTTTCACATACACCAATTAAAAAAAAAAAAAAGAAAAGACTGCCATCAAGTCGATTCAACTCATAGCAACCACCGTTGGGTCCCCAGTGTTGCGAATCTTTATGGAAGTAGACTGCCTCATCTTTCTTCCACACAGTGGCTGGTGGGTTTGAACTGCCAACCCTTTGGTTAGCAGCCAAAGCCTTACCAACTACAGCACTGTTGTTGTTATGTGCCATCAAGTCGGACCTGACTCATAGCAACCCCTTCTTGGGTTTCCAAGGCGTTATCACTACAGAAGTAGAATGCCCAATCTTCCTTCCGAGGAGTGGCTGGTAGGTTTGAACCTCCAACCTTCTGCTTAGAAGTCAAGTCCCTTAGGCACTATACTACCAGGGCTCCTGCACTAGCACTCCTTATATACCCATAGTTTTAAAAAATATTTTTTTCTACACTAGCAGAGAAATTTAGATAAGTAAAATCATCTCCATGTTATTACAAATATATCTCCATCTGTATAAGCAATAGTATTTGCAGATCCTACAGCCACATTTGAGGTTAGAAAGGGAGTTCAATCAAGGGGCAGAAAAACTAGTTTTCATGTCAACTTTACCCAGCTACATAACCCTGAGCAATAACTTCTCTCTGTCTTAGTTTGCTCATCTGCAAAATGAAGGTAGCAGTTCACCTGTCCAAAGGCCAGGGTCTGGACCAGATGATCTCCTGAACGTTCTTTCTAGAAGTGAGATTCTTTTTTTTTTTTTTTTTTCCCCTTAAACTAATGATTTTCAAATAGTTTCAGGCATCAGAATTCCCTGGGATGCTTATTAACACAGATTGCGAGGCCCCAGCCTGAGTTGCTGATTTAGTAGGTACAGTGCAATGAATTGCTTAATATGGCCCTTCTAGCCATAGTCCTCCATTTTGTGATGTATTGTAAATCCTAGCCTCTATGCCTGTGGTTATGGTCCCATTTTGGGGCGAGTTGTCTGTTGCAGGATTAGGGTGGGATGTACCTTGAGTCCCACCTTGCTAGAGGATGTAAGTCAAGTCACCACCTTTAGTTCCCTTGAGGATATATATGTGAATCTTCTGGAAAACTTTACTCTCTTGTTCTGGATCCTGCACGTGATTCATCTTCATCTTAGCGCTGGTTCTTAGATTTAGGACAGCAGCTAGTCACCTGACCTGTCAATTTGGGTTCGTCAGCCCCTGCAATAACATAAGTGAGGAGGATCCTCCAAACAAGCGCTTGACCTATGGATTTGGGACTTTCCAGCTTCCACAACTGCATGAGCCATTTCCTCAGCAACTGATGAGTTTTGTGAGAGGTTACAGTGGAATACAAAACCCTCAGATGGGAGGGAGAGTGCTGAGGGGAGGAGAAGGAGTTGATGTTAGAGGTGATAGAGTGGTACAACAGTTTGGAAAAGTTGGACATTTGGGATATCTTAACCTCCATCTCATCCTGATCCTTCTAAAAGAAATGATTCAAGCAGTAGGTCTAAAGTGGGGCCTGATAGTTTGAAGTTCTACCGATTTCCCAGCAGACACTGATGTTGATGTTGCTGGTGCAGGAACGATGCTCTGAGAACCGCCAGTACATGACAGAGGCCTCATCGTCCCTCGTATGGTCCCTACAGCTGATCTCTCTTCATGTTTTCAAAATGGCGTGGCCACTTGAAGGAATGAGAGAATAGTTCTATTTGTCCACTGAGCCCCAGGTGCTGCAGCCACACCTCAGCAACTGAGTACAGGCTGACAGGAAGCTCCTGGTCATGCTCACAGGGCCATGTGGGAATGTAGACACTGGGGAACAGCCAGAGAAGCCATGTGAAGAAGGGCGGGGCAATGAGGGCAGATGAGAAGGAAGAGGTAAATATGCCATCACACAATTCCTCTGTATAAACAACTTTTCTAGAACTTTCTCTGTTCATAAACACGAAGTCAACACAAGCATTTTTTGAGGATTGTACGTAGGCTAGCACCAAGTAAAGAATTAGGAAAACCCTGATAAAGTGAAGCTTGTCCTCAGTGGGACTCTGAAGCTCATGGGGAAGGGAAAATTCACACATATTCACACACTTGAGAGCTATAAGCCAAGACAAGTAGATAATTAGGTGTGAGATAATGTGCCATGCAGACAGGATGTTCTGGAGAGAGGGTGTTGGTGGACTCAAGAGATCTGGACAGGCCGTCCTGGGGGAGGTAAAGCAGCTGGCAGAGCCTGGAAGGACAGGAAGCATCTGAAACAATGGGAAGTTGAGGAAAGCCCAAAGGGAAGCTTAGAGTCACAGGGAATATGCGCAGAACAGGGGTGTGAATGCCCAGGGAGGTCTTCTGCTCTTGTCTCTACTCCTGCCAATGTACACTCTTTCTGATCATTCCATTCCCGTGTCTTGGTTCCCTCATTTGTGAAATGAAGGGTTTGGGCTACATCAGAAGTCTTCTGATTCTATTCCATTGTGAAGTAGCCCCAGACCAGAAGAGGGTGAGTGAGCAGATGGGGCCCAGCCCTGCTTGTTGTTCCACCTTTTCTTGAACCAGAGCAGCTCCTTTTTGCCACATTTTTACACTCCCCATTCAGTTTCACTTCCAGAAAGGATTTGAAAAGCCCTCCACAAGAAACTCTGTAAAGACTCTTTCCACTTGCACATTGAGTAACTGAATAGAAGAGAGAAAGACGCTAGTTAACACAAGGGATGGGACCAACCAGGTTGATCAGACTAGGTTCTGGAACAGGTTAACCAAATGTGGGCAGGAAATTGGGAACCAGTGAAGGTCTGTGAGTGGAAGAGTGCCACAGGACAAGAGTGAAATCTGGCCCACAAACCACTAACTAAACAAACTGATCTGAAAATCTCAACTCCTCAGAAAGTTCTGAGTAAAAACAAAGGGCGATTTTCCCCCTTGTCAGCTCTTCTCCCCCAGGACATTATACTGTATGCAAAACTGGTAACTGTAAGACAAACATTTTTTTCCACTGACCTTCTCAGCCCCACGGGCCTTCAGAAAGACCAGTACTTCAAGCAAAGCCTTTTTTTATTTTTGAACACCCACAGCTTCCATTCAACAATTAGAAGTTTTCCATTTTCATCAAAGAGGCTGAACACAGAGACCCAAGGAAGCAACCTGTTCTCAGCAGCTCTGGGCAGATTACAAAGCTCTGAGACATACTCACTGCCCATGTCCACCAGAGGATTTGGCCTTCTCCCTGAATCAGTCAGTATGAACCTCCAAAAACTACTGGCTTACTCATCCCAATCACCAGACCAAATGAATGTTTACACCCAATGCTTCCAAAACCAAGCTCCACTCGGGATCAAGGGGGATCTCTATCTCCTCAACTGTGAAATGGGTATATTATATACCACTCTATTTAGCCAGAAAAAACAATACACCCACGATGCCTCTTCCATCTCAAGGATCTATGATTGTATGGATTCACTCTGAAGAGATATCCAACCAACTCCTAGAGCCTGACCTAACTCAGGAGATGCCCAAAAGTTTGGGATCTAGGGGCAGGCAACAATGGTAATCATCTGAGCTTGGCTTCGGACACAGGACATTTCCTTGGGTGAGTTTGAGGTCACTACGGCTCTCAGAGATGTACTGTACGCAAAAATTGATCAGAAATGGGAGAAATATTAACAATAATTGGCTACTTTCCAGGGTGATACCAAATGAAGTTCTCAACAGTGTCTGTTTACATGGTGCTTTGAAATGGAGAGTCAGCCAGAGAGATTCCCATGGTTACTCATTAGTAACCATGAATGTGTGACCCGGCTCTGTTCTCCAGAGGTTCTGTCTATTGTATCTATCTAAATTCCAGACTTGGTCCATGGGACCACTTGGGATGTTTAACAAGAATGCTCCCAAACCATCCACCAAGTCTATTCCCATTCCCAAATCACTCTTACATCATTATCTCATTTGAGCTTCACGATGACTGTCAACAATGGAGCCTTAGCCCATTTTACAGATGAGAAAAGGGGAGGAGCATGAAGACTTGTTCAAGGACTCAAGGCTAATAAGAAATAAGGCTGAGACCTCCTAGCACTGTGCCTGAGACAGTAGAGATTCAATCGTAGTAGTCGCATGTACTCAAATATACACCACACCACACACAAATCACACACCACAAACATACCATACACATACACCACACACACACACCACATACATCCTCATGCATATACCACATACATACACTATACAGAATACACACCAATTCCGCACCACACTACCTCCCCACTTCCACCCCCACTGCCAATTCCTTCCCCTTTCTATGAGTTTTATGACAGATCCAGGGTTATCTGCAAGTTCAACAGCCTTCAAAACACTCTGCACGAGTTTTGTTCAGAAGATCGATGTTTCCAGATTCCTGCTCTGTGACAGTAAATTTTAACCGCTCCCCAAATTTCCAACTGTCATGATCTTGCCTCCATTTGGATAAATCTCCACATCTGAGAGCTCTTCCTTCCCAAATACTCTGCTGCACTTCTAGGTCTCACCAGGCGCTGACATTATCACACTGAACCCTTTTGAGTCATTTTACTGCAGTCCAAGGAATCCAGCCTCCCAGAGCCCCAGCAAAGGCATATTATCTGAGAAGGTCTCTGAGCAGGAGGCCTTATTGAAGAGAATGTACAACTTCTCAAGCAGGAAGGCGTTTCGTGGTTGAGACTAAGTGAAACAGAAGTTGCTTTGTGCACACACACGCGCGCACACACACACAGGAGGGGAACCGTCATTTTCCTATGTGTCCTCTGACATCAGCTACCTTCTCTGTAGCTAGTTTCTCTGCACTCAGATTAATCCCTGGCCATGAAAAATGAACCTCTCCCCCACTGTTGCTGCTGCCTTTTGCCTCACGCCCCCAGAGAAGGGTTTCTTCAAAAGGCAGCCGTTGAAGATTTTTTTCCAAGTCACATGATCCAGGATGCAGGGGGAGAATCCTTTTTGGAACAGAGATGGGCCTAGAACCGACTCAGATGAAGAGAGATAAGGTGTGATGTGGGGAAGACTATATAAAGAATGGACCCTGGGCTGCAGCAAGCATTCAACAGCGTGGCCCCTTCTCAAGACGCAGCCATGCATGTGCCAGCAGGCTCCATGGCCAGCCACTTGGGAACCACGAGCCGGAGTTATTTCTGCTTCACCACAGCCACCCTGGCGTTGTGTCTCATATTTGCTGTGGCGACCGTGATGGTGTTGGTAGTTCAGAGGACGGTAAGTAGCCTCCTTTTCTTCTCCTTTCTTCTATGATTTATGTTCCGTTTCTCGCAGAGAGAGTCTTGAGAACAAAGTAATGGATTAGTTGAGAGCACAGATAAAATACATATATCATGTAGAGAAAGGGAGAAACAAAAGAGGAACTGTACTCTTTGAAACAATGTGGCTTTTTCAGAAAAATATCTGTGGAGCCATCAATCATCTCAAAACTATGTAGGCTCACTTGAGCCAGTGGAGCAGAGAGGAGCGACGGGCCTTTAGAAATGAAGATTAAATCTTGCTGAGCCAGAGACTCACAGCAAGGAAAGAAGCAGTAAGGAAACCCAACAGTACGTTTGCCCAACTTGTTATTATGTCTTCATGACCGTCAGACCAGATCCCAATGTTTCATATTCCCAGTCCAAATGTTCCCAACGTTTCTGAGGCCTTATCCATTGCCAAGCATTTTCAACAAGGAGCTAAGTTCCAGAGGCCAAAATCTCTCAAGAAAGGAGGCAACTCAAAGACCCAAACTCCTTAGACTGCTGGCCATTTCGGAGTTAAAGCCCTCAAGGCAAATTGAAAGCTAGCTTGTAGGCCACTGCTTCAAGGAGCTAAGGATGTCAGGAGAAATGGAGGGCACAGTAGCAGAAAGTAGAAATGCTTTAACACCTGCTCTCTCAGAGATCCTTCAGAGTACTAAGCAATTGTGAGGTACCCACTAGACAGGGGCAAGCTGTCTTGTCTCTGCACATTTACTTTGAAGTAACTGGCAAGATCTGTATCAGAAAATAGACGAGATGAAGGAGTCTTCATGTTTTAGAGAATTAGTGTTTACAGAAAACTTACCAGTATGTATTTTATTGAAAATATTGTACTGATAGCATATATTGTTCATGGATTTTTTAAAAAAAGAAGTAAAGTTTTTGTTTTTAAGAACAGATAGTTTAAGAACATAAACACCGCACCTTGCCAAAGTGAAAAATCTTTGTGTTTATTCCCTCAGAGTACTCATCTGTCACGTTATTACAATCCTGTAGAATTTGTTCTGTGTTTCCTCAGTTGTCTTAGACCAAATGCTTTATATATATTTTATTGTGATAGCATAGTGCCTAAGGCACTTGACTGCTAACCAGAAGGCTGGCGGTTCAAACCCACCAGCCACTCCTTGGAAGGAAGATGGGGCAATCTACTTCTGTAGTGATACCATCTCAGAAACTCAAGGAGGGGTCGCTATGAGTTGGGTCCGACTCGACAGCACATGACAACAACTACAGAATGACCTCAGCTCTAAAGGGCTTTGGTATCCACTTCTCAAGTGTCAAGAAGCTGAGAAATTTAAATGAAGCTTCAAAACTCACATCTCCATAAAAGTGAAAGAAAACAGAGTTGCTAATGTTTTATTTAGATAGTAGAATTTTAAAAAAAAATAATTGTTTAGTGAGCTAATCTACTTCTCCTAAGAATAATACTCTTGAAGAGTATTATTAGGGTAACCTTTTTTTTCTATAGAGGTTGTACAGTTTCTTTATTCTAACTTGTATCAAACCAGAGATGTGTCATCTTATAGGAATGACAAAAGAAAAAAAAATGAAGTGGCTTTTAAGAAGTTCTTTAGTTAAGTGATACTGATAGAACTGGGAAGGAAGGAGGGAAGGTGGGAAGGAGGGAATAAAGGAAGGGAGTGGAGCAAAGAGAAAGAGAGAGAGAGAGGAAGTCATGATGGTGAGGGAGGCTAGAAGGGAGGGTGATGATGACATATAAAGCTAGAGAGAGCTCCAGAACGGTGCTTATTCAAACGTACCTTTTAGTTGAATTGATTCCTCCCCTGACACAACTGGAGTGGATCTTTCTGCCTCATTTTCAGGCAGGAATAAGAAGCAGAGTGGGGAGAGAGTGTAAACTAAGTCTCATCCTAGAAAGACATAGAGTCAAGACTGCTCGACCATTTAACGAGAAGACCTTTCCTCTTGCCAACACAGCCACAGAAGCACTAACAAACTTTGGTCCCACTCTCCTTTTGGGAGCTTTTCTTCTTGTGCATCCATTTCCTTGACTTCCCCCTCATGTTGAGTGTGAAAAGACTCACTTCACAATCTAATTGTCTGGTTTAGTGTGCTGTGCTTTCCTGGCCTGAGAAAAATCAGTTACTTGCTTAAAAGTTAAGGCCTGTAATTTCAAAAGTCAGAGTGATAATAAATGCTAAGTCTTTTATGCTTATCATTTCCAATGAATTGTTTGGACTTTAACTATAGCGATAACTAAAAGGAAAGAGTTATTCCCTTGAGCTTGAGTTATCAGAGAATAATTTCTACAGGAAAAGGGAATATAGGCTGGCTTTAGGACAGGTAGAACTTAGACAAGGGAAAAGGCTCTAAGAGGACCTCTGGAGAATAAATCAATGGGAAAGACCCAAGGCACCTCAACTCACATCCCCATTATTAAAAATGGTTGATGGCCACCCAACACTCTATGCATGAGGTTAACTGTGGATAGAGGCAATGGTGGAGAACAATCAGAAGAATGATTTTACTGACCTAAGTCACAGCTTTAGATCAAAAGGCACATGCCCAGACAGTATTTAAAACAAAATACTCTAGAAAAAGTGATGGTGATGGAAGCTCACATGGTTTCCTTGAAGCACATTAGGGAGAGAGAATAATTCAGGCATATTTAACAAAAACTTCACCCAAGATTGGCATTTGGAGTTGGCTTGAGAAATGTGTACAATTTCAAACAGGTGAGGAGAGGCCACTCCTGGCCAAAGCATTGAACAGCATAAGCAAAGGTATCAAGGAGAGAAGATGCAGGATATATAGGAAAGTCAACAAAGATGACCTCATGTTCCAGTTACCTAGTGCTGCTCTGATGGGAATATACCATAAATGGGATGGCTTTAACAAGTAGGAGTTTATTCTCTTACAGTTTGGAAGGTTAGAAGTCTGAGTTCCAGGTGCCAGGCTCTAGGGGCGGTGTGAAAGCCCCTCGACCTTGGGCTTCAGCTCTGCCTCTTGCTCCCAGCCCACTGAATCTAGAAGCATCTCTTCACTCAGGCAGCTGCTAGCTGCTGAGGCTGACAAACCCAAAGTCAGCGAGTGAAAAGGCACAGTCCCAATATTGCCAAACCACATGGCAGGCCATTAATTCTAGTCCATTAAAAGTCCCAAGATCTTGATGGTCTGATAGAACCTGGTGGTACCCCTGAGACTATGGCCCCTAGCTACCCTTCTGGTCTGGAAGTGAACCCACTCCTGCGGCTTCCAGCTAAACAAAAGACAAGCGTATGAGCTGAATATTTACATTAGGTACGTGTGCTCCTTGAAGAGATCAATCACGGGAGAATAGAAGGGCTGTGTATGTACAGGGAGATGGCTCAGGGGCAGGCCTCATGGGAGGGAAGGACACAGGGAAGAGGTGACAATGGGTCAGAAGTGGGAAGAGAGCTGTTGCATTGTGAGAAAGTGCAGTCAATGTCATGAGACAAAGTATCTGTGAACTGCTGTGTGGAAAATGAATTTGCTCTATAAACTTTCACCCAAATCACAATAAAATTTTTAAAAATTTAAAAAAGTCCCAAGATCAGCAGGGCAACATGGCAGGCTGCTGAACAACGACTCAGCTATGTGCAGGGTTCAAGCATGCCATCAGCTGGAAACCTTCCTCAAAGTTGCTTCTCATATACTGGAAGCAGACCACATCCCTAAAGCAGTACTCAGCTGCTCCAATAGATTCCACCATGGAGTTAATTACCATTCTCACCATGGGAAATAACTACATCCAGCTGCCCAGCCACTCAATAAGGCCCAGCCAAGTTGACCCACAATCTTAACTACCACACCTTGATAATTAGATTAAAGAGCAAACAACTCCAAAGTCAAGCTCTTTAGGAGAGATAAATAAGGAATTTAGGTTTCAAACTCATTTATTGAGCATCTGCTCATACAGGACATTGTTCTGAACAACACCAACGAAATCCCTGCTCTCATGTGGCTTATAAAACTTACTTTCTAGTGATGTCTTTTAAGTCTCTAGGAGATTACATTTTCTTTTAACTTAAACCATATATTAATCATAAAATGCTATATTCACACAATTTATGGCAAGTAAACAGTTAACAAGGGAAAGGAAAGAAAAGCAAAAGTCATTCATATTCTCTCCATCCAATCAGCAATCCCTCTTCCCTGAGATAACCACCACATAGGTTCTTGTGTCCTTCCAAAACTCTTGTGCACCTACAAGTATATAGTATACACATCATTATAGTAAAGCAGCAATTCTACACCTTGCTTTATTCATTTGACAGTTTATCTTGGAGATCTTTCTATGTCAATACATAGAAGTCCATCTCATTCTTTTGAAGAATTACATCGTGTTCTATTGTACAGATGCTTCTTAACTTATTTTAGTTGTGCCCAATGAGGGACACTTAAGATTTCCTCTAGCATTTTCCCCCTGTACACACAATGGTGAGTATATCTGTGGGATAAATTCTAGTGGTGGGAATGGAATGTGGGGTTTCATTTTAATAAATACTGTCAATCAGATTCCAAAGAAATTGTACTGTTGGAGAAGTTAAACTCCTACCAACAAAGAGACACCTCTTCACTTAACTATGGACAAAAAGAAAATTGATTTATTATTGAGTAAGCTCTGGTGGCATAGTGGGTAATGCATTTAGTTACTAACCAGAAGGTCAGCAGTTCAAACCCACTAGGTACTTCATGGGAGGAAGGTGAAGCAATCTACTTCTGTAAAGATTTACAGCCTTGGAAACCCAATGGGTGTTGCTATGTCAGAATTGACTCAATGGCAGTGGGTTTTGTTTTATTTTGTTTTGTTTTTTGGTAAGCACAACACAATACACACATATAAATAAGCCATAGAGAGACACTACAGTTTATACAGAATTATATACAGTAAATAAATTATACAGTTTATACACAATTTATACAGTAAAGCAAAAGCGATAGATAGATAGATAGTTTGTTGTTGTTGTTGTTATATGCCGTCGAGTTGGA